CCATATCTTGAAAACTAGAGCCAATCAACAATTTTAAGCATCATTTTCGTTCTCAGTGACCCAGAATTAGTAAAGTTTGACTACATTTATTTCAGAAGCATTTTGGCTGTAGAGCAGTGTTATCAGGTGAAAACTATTTAGAAGATTCCATTTAGGTCAAATATTTGTCTTTGATGGGAGAAGGAAAGAAAAGGATGATACAGATTTGGGTATTAACCAAAAGTTGTTTTAAATATAGATATACTGATGTACTTTTTTTTTATCAGATTGCATGCCTGGTTATATAGGATAACGTCCATCTCTGTGAAGGGGAACAAATAAATGAAATCCCCAAAGACTCCTGTGATTTTTTTCAAGTGGAAAAACTGGAAGAAAAATATACAAAGATGTTTCCACGATCACCATTTGCTACCTCTGAACATTATTTGTTTAATTCTGAGGGCTGATAACTGTCCTGATTGTATATTTTTAATCACAAAAGGAAACTTTTTTTGTTTTCTCTTATTTAATATGGAACTTTTTTGGAATTAATTTAACAAGTCCTTTGGGAGCCAAGGGGTAATCAATAAGAACACGCAGTTCTATTGTTGTTTATACTCTCAGCATGGTCCTGTAAACCCTTTCTCACACTTCTGCGACTACTCATATACATAAGGATAGCTAGTGTGAGCAAGGAGTTGCCTAAATTCTAACTTCTCAATTTCCACCATTGGCAGAGATGCTCAGAAATGCTGAATCCTAAAAGTGAGGTTATTGAAAATGGTAGAGAACTTGATCCACAGCATGCTAACCTTCCGGCATTCATATATTACTATTGTCCTTTTGTTTCTAATGATGAGTTTCCTCCCACATTTGAACTTTGGCTGGTGGAGATGTATGGTTGAAGAAATGTACGTACAAATCCCTATAAACAGACCTACGATTCAGTCAAATGTACAGAAATTAAATGGAAGTTACATTATTTAATATTAGCCTTCCATCCAATTACTCTTTAAGAATACTTTTCCTTCTTCTTAATTTTGTATGACTGTGACAGTCACCTATAGCAAAAAGTTACTCTTTCGTTGCTAGTATGTTTTTGATTTAACAGAGCCAAGCGGAATACAAATAAGCCTTGTGCAAACTACCACACACCTTCAATGCACCTTCAGCCTGATCTGCAACACTCATGTTGTCCTAGTCTTAGTCCCTTCTGGACAGAACTGCCAATCATGCTAAATCATGTGCAGGGCTCAGTGATGTGGACAGATATTCACTCAGATTTAGGAAGAGACCACCAAAAACTCACTCATTTGTGACCTTAACAGGATTTGGATCTAGGCCTCCAGAGGTGAAAGGCTTGTTCATTAGTGGTGGTGCTTTTTTAAAGATATTTTTGTAGCACTGGCAACAAAGCAAAACAAATAGATTCAGCTACATTCCATCTGTCAAACTCTGTATCCACTTTGATGATTCTATGTAAATGCAGGAAACAACCTTTCTCAGTAGACTTTGAGCTGTTTTCTCTCAAAATGTCTTGTTACAGTGTGGGAAAAACATGACACTGAGGTTAACAAAGGATTAAAAATAATAGCTTTTAAAAAAGGGAAAGAGGATCACAAAGAAAACTACCTTGGAGCACAAAATGAAACAAAAGAGCACAAGAAGTGATTGACTGCCATACAATTAACAGATTAAAATATTCAGGTGACAAATATGTACCTAAATCAGACTTTCCCTCAACTGTTGAAGTACTTGATAGCACAAAAATGTGATGAAACAACCAAAAAGGTTTTACTACTAAGGCTTGCAACATAAAAGTTTATAAGGGGGTGCAAAAGAATAAAAATAACGTGAAAATCAAGAGTTAAAATATTGAAAGTTATACAATATTTTTCAGAGAACCTGGACTCTAACCATATAATGCTTTATTCCATACTCTCTGCAATGCCCATGTCTGGGATATCTTAGGCTATTTTGCTTTCTCAAAGGAATTCTGCAAACCCCTGTTATTGCTCTTTTGCCTTTTATAAGGCTATCTCTACTCTAACAGATACTGCAGCACAAACACTATTTGTGTTACTATTTATTTAGCTAGATATTTTACTGAATAACTAAAACATAAATCCCTTTCCCTGAGGCACTTACACTCTAATTTTAGACGTGAGCCAGTGGATGAGGGGTGCAGCAAGCAAAGAGATACTTAAACACATATTTAACATGACAATCTCACATTTGGTGAATCTGGACTCCATTGAAGTCTGTGGAAGTTTTGCCATTAACTTCAATAATGCCAAGATTTCACCCATTGACTTCATTATGGGACTACCTACAGAATGTAAATTTAGGCATGCACATAAGACAGAACAAGGAGCAATTGTCTCAAATTGCAGTGGGAGAGGTCTAGGTTGGATATTAGGAAAAACTATTTCAACTAGGAGGGTGGTAAAGCACTGGAATGGGTTACCTAGGGAGGTGATGGAATATCCATCCTTAGAGGTTTTTAAGGCCCAGATTGATAAAGCCCTGGCTGGAATGATTTAGTTCAGGTTGGTCTTGCTTTGAGCAGGGGGCTGGACTAGATGACTTCCTGAGGTCTCTTCCAACCCTAATCTTCTATGATTCTAGGATTCTATGATTAGTCTTTGGATGATCAGGGAGGGGGTGCAAAGAGGTGAAGAAGAACAAGAGTTCCAATTAGAAAGATTAATTCAGAATACTGCTTTGCAGGGCAGAGGTCTGGAGGTGGAAACTCTGTCTGGAGACCAAGTTGTGACAGCAAAAGTAGCAACCTCAGATATGCAGGCTGCCAGGGGCCAATGCAGTCTGAAAAGTGGGTGGTATGAGCTGGAAAAGGACCATGGCCAGATAAGCACTAATTCAGTACCTACCCTGAGATGCTCCTGTCAGTGAATATCATGTTTATCCTGCTGGGAAATAAAGCTTCCCCTCCAATGTCCAGGCAGTAAAAGCCCATGCAATGGCCACAGAGACACTGCATGCTCTTTGTTTGGATGAATGATCAACCCCTAGGGGCATACCAAATGAAGAAAAATGCTGAAACTAAAATGTAGAACTGGTCAGTAATTTTTCTATGAAAACACTGATCCATTGAAACTGAAACCAGTTGCGGGAAGGAATCAGTTTTGACAAAATGCCAGTTTGGGGGAGGGATAAGAAGAAAAAATAAAAGGTTTCAAAATTTTCAATGTCCCATTTCAACATTTTCAAAACAAAAAAAATCTGCTTTTCCTTTCAAAGTGACTGTTTCAAAATTTAAGTTAATGCATACTAGTCACAGTTGCCAATGTTCACGGGGTAAATAAGCACCCCAACTTTCAAAATAGGCCAAAAATCAAGCTAGTCCCATTTCAAAACAAGGCCAAAACAAGCCAATCCCTAAGAACTCCAGCACTGTGTGTGACTAGATTCCCCCCCGGCATGCAGTCTGGGACTGTGGTGGGCCTGCTGTGCACCTCTGACTCTCTCCCCACCTTGCCCCTGCTTGCTGAGAGCTGATTTTTTTTAAAAAAGGAAGCAACAAGCTACAAGCTAAACAAGCTACAAGCCATAAACTAGCCAACAAGCAACTCACAAGCCAATTAAGCCAAAACCAAGCCCAATTTTTGTTTGTTTGTTTGTGAGTTTGGCATGTCTGGTACTAACCATAAAATAAAAAAAGAGACTACTAAAAATTAGCAAAATAAAATGTTTTGATTGAACTAATAATTTTTCCAGATTTTCAGTTCATGCTAATTTTTGAGATTTCACCTTTTAGTCCCAATTTGATATGAGAAAAATTGTTAGAAATCTCAAATTCTCATGCTGCAGAAAAGGCATTTCCTACCTAGCTCTAATTAAAAAGGTGTTCTCTCTCACCAGAGACCCCTCTTCACATGTTTTCTAATAAATAGTTCTTCCCTGTGTAATGAGCCAATCTACTAGAACACTATAGCTATAGAGAAAGGGTAGGCAACAATTTATTTTCATACCCAACTGAAACCATTAGGGAAGCTAAAGCTGTATACTGTATCTGGAAGGAATGCATTTACATACTTTCATTCCAAGAATGGGTTTCTCACTTTGAAATGGAAACAGTTTCCTAACTTAAAGTAGGTAATTACACACTCCATTAAACAAGTAATTAACAGATTACAATTTGGAAAAAAAAAACTTGAAAATGAGCAATTCAGATGCTGAACGTGAAGCACAGTGTTATAATTAGCATAATACCTTTTGAATGGATTAACAAGTACACAATAAAAATGAAAAAATCTGTTTCTTCCATGCAGATCATATGCAACAAATACTATTTTACGAGCCTTACAAGAACATAGCTTAAGAAGAAACCTATTGTTAGTGACTTGTGCTAAATTACTCTAAAAAAACAAATAGATAAAAGTTTTTGAAGGTTATTATTATGTGTGTGGCAGATAGGGAAGAGTGGTTATATTATATAAGAAACATCAAAGGACAAATTCTGCAATTGGACGCAGAAGTGCCTCTCCTTTTGACTTGGAGCAGAATTTGTCCCAGAAGAAACCCAGCCATGAAGATTTACGTAGTGTAGTTCTAAGTATCATGAAAGGTTACTATAACTGATACATCATCAAATATTTATATGCCTTTTTATTGCAAGTTTGTTTGCTTTGTGCTTTGACAGTGCTTTAGACTGGATCCCCAGGCTTGCCAGAACAGATTCAGCTTGGGAAGCATGGAGGGGGGCATTAGTGGTTATATCAGTCCCAAGACTCCTACCCCTTCACTAGAGTCATGTCACTAGCATGAATCCACCCCAGCCCACCTAGGCCCGCACAGTTAGCAGAATCTTCAGATAATGCCTCAAGGCAACTGTAATTCCTTTTTGTACCATTGGAATGGTGCAAAAAGAATTTGAGTAGTCAAGGAATTTACACTGTTTAGTCAGTTTTACTCCTCTTCTGTATAATCATTAGTTATTTTCTACTGAAAACACATTTTTAAACATCAACAAAAAGAGAGAACATCACACTTTTAAAAAATATTAAAAGGACAAAACAAAACAAGGCATCCTACTTTGCTGCTATATCAGATATTGGATTTTTTTAAATTAATCAATTGAAGTATTCAAATTGACAATGTCCTTAATTCTAGTACATTACTGATTTTCCTAACATGCACAATTAAAATCTTAACCTTAAAATTGCCCAACTATTGCTTTTCTTCATGTAATTGCCTTCATTTGAGGTGACCAGTTAAAGAAAGGGAGATGTAAAATATTAAAATGAAATACAAAAATGAGGAGAAGAGTGCAAAACTGAAACTACAAGAAGAAATTCTACTGCAGCTGAAGCCCTGGCTGTAATTAGGGCTGTACCAAATTCATGGCCATGAAAAATGTGTCATGGAATGTGAAAACTGGTCTTCCACCATGCAATTTGGCCTTTTGTGTGCTTTTACCCTACACTATACAGATTTCACAGGGGAGACCAGCATTTCTCAAATTGGAGGTTTTGACCCAAAAGGAAGTTGCAGGGGGGTCACAAGATTATTATGGGGGGCCACGGTATTGCCACCCTTACTTCTGAGCTGCCTTCAGAGCTGGATGGCTGGAAAGTGGCAGCTGTTGGCTGGGCACCCAGCTCTGAAGGCAGCGCCCCGCCAGCAGCAGCGCAGAAGTAAGGGTGGCAATACCATACCATGGTATGAGCACAGAGGGGAGCTAAAAAGCCAAATCTTACACAAGAGAGTTGTTGAGGGGCTGCATGGACATCAAACGTAGCAATGTGATAATGTTATTCCTGCCCAATAGCTTCTTCCACTTTTGCTTCCTACAGATGTTGTGATGAAACCCTTTCCCACAGAACTGAGAGAAATGGATGTAAAGTGCAGTCCTTTCTTTGAATGCATGTGTTGAGAGGTACTGGTGATTAATGTGTCAATGCTACAAAGAAAGGGTAGTTACCCAAGGAGAGACCGAGTACTGCCTGACAGAAGGACAAGACTCCATGAGATTCTTTCCCACCGATCTCAGCATCACATCATTGTTTTGACCATTTCCTTTCTCATATCCACTCCACTGTTGGTCCTACCTACAAGAGCATGGTTCTAAGTTGGTGGTAGTTCACAATCTGTCCTCCCCTTTTACATATTTTAAGGTGTAAATGTCTGGGTTTGATCCTGTGAGTTTGGTTGGCTGCTGCAGCTATTATTAGCTTGTGTCAAGAAAGTGTAATTGAACCGATGGGCCAGATTTTCCTCTTGCCACACCAGTGTGACTCCATTGCCTTCAGTGAAGTTAACTTTTTTTATACTGGTATAATAGAGAGGAGAATCAGGCCCCAGAAATCACAAGAAGCTCTCTCGACGGACAATTAGCTGAAAGTAGTTTCATGCTGCCTTTTTGATCTTATGGAGGAAAAAGTCTTCCAAACCAGAAATGGCAGCATAAAGCATTCTTCTCAGTGGTCCAACTTTGTATCATGCGGTGCCTGGAAATGAAAAATTTGACTGCTGCTTTTATCAACATATATGCAGTTGGCCTTCTTAAATCTTCTTAGCTTCCTTATTTGCTGATATTTTACTTGCAAATGAGTTTTTGAAATTTCTATGACAGAAACCTGCTGGGACTGCAACATAGTAATGAAGATTTGAAAACTGAATATGCTTATTAAGCTCACATTGTCAGATAATTTATAATAAAGTTAAAGACAGTATTTTTTTATGCTGCTGTGGCAACTCCTTATCTATTACCTGATATTCCTTGTAATATGCTGGGCAGTGTCAAGCCTTTTTAGGAGATGTTTGTGAAATGATTAGAGCCTTGCTCCCATGGAGGTTAATATGAACACTGACTACAATGAAAGCAGGTCAGATTCTTTGTTTGCAGAATACTTACTCCACAACTTTTCTTTATCTTTTTGTAATGATTTGTAGGAACGTCTGTTTGTTTTTACAGTGTTTTTTTCCCAATGACACATCACAATCTAAACATCAAATAAAAGCTTGTTTAGAAATAGATACATTTAATTCATTAAGAGCAGTCACTGCTCTAGCACAGAAGCAAAGATCCAGAAAATCAGGAGATCAGCTATCCCAGGAGTACTTGTATGTTGGGGGAGAGGGGCATATGTGCCTATGCTACAATCCTATCTCACTGCAGCCAATTATTAATATGGTTTGAGCACAGCATCACTTTTCCCTTTTACTGCATCTCTGGTGCACCTCTAATCAAGCCCTCCCCTTGCCATATACAATTAGCTATTAATAAATTTCTTTTGTATGAAAGATGCTACATATAACTAAATACTACATATTCTGCATTGGTTAAAAAAAATCATTGATAGGTATCAGCATATGTCATGTGTATATCTGTTTCCAGAGTTCAGAAATCAATGGTTTCTCATAGAAAACTACCATTCCACAGAATTTTACCTACTTTGGAATAAATCCATGGTATTCAAAATGAACATTTTCTTGTTTGCCTTTATGACCCAGTGCAGGTGGACTGCACAAGGCATTGTGCACCCCTTACATCCAACTCCAATGCTGATTTAAGGGTTGAACTGTGGATTAAGTGATTCATAGGATCTTGCATAGGCCTGTTGAACTGGGAGAATTGCGCCCTAGAAGCACAAAATGCTAAATTGAGCCCTGGACTGAGAATAACTCCACTGAAGTGAGGGAGAGGAATTTGGCACAAGAGATATAAATCAGGAGGTATTCAGATAGAATTCTGAGATTCTGCTTGTTAAAGTTTTGCACGGAATAGGCAGCAAAATTACATTCAGATTACTTAGGTGAATCAGGCCAAGAGCTCTCTTGAGTTGTGCAAAATAAAACCAGCTTTAAAATGAATCCAGGACACGGGTTAATTTTTTTAACCATTCAGAAACATATGAAAATAAACCTACCTAAAGACAAGATCAACCCTATAACTACAAAGGAAAATAGTGGACAAAGTTTGCCTTCTCTCATACTACATGCAACCTTATTGGCCAGATGTGATTGTTCTCTCCAAAATGATAAAGCATTGCAGAAATTGTTTACCTTTCCTCGCCCCATCTACAACTGTCCCTACATCTACAACTGTCCCTACATGTCCCTATATGGGTTGCTCTCCCACCCTCCACAACAAATTAATGTCCAAAAGGTCCTACTACTTTTCAGTCCCTTCAAAAAAATTACAAATTTTATCCAGCTTTGAGTTATTCAGTTTGATTATTTCCTACAGTTTTTTTTTTTTAATTTCAATATTGATGACAGAAGCAGGTCATGACTTTTAAACCAGGAATGAACTGAATGCTAGCACTGGTGTCTCTAATGAGCAGCCTCATGTTAGAAGATCTAACACTAAGCATAATTTTAATCTAGAAAAGAATTATGCAGCAACCAACTCTGAACACACACACACACACACACACACACACACACACACACACACACACACACACTACTTACGTTT